TTATTGTGGCTTGTTAACATTTTATTTTTAATATTTTTATTGAGCTTAGTTCAATTTTTCCTAATGAACAATCGTGGTACTAAGCTCAATAAAAATATTAATAATATATATATTTTTTTTATTGTATTGTCTGCAACCTATCTGTAAAAGTTCGTTGCTTTTATTGTACTACAAATCAATTCCATCTATACATTAACTACAATTTAAAACAATTTTTGTTCTTAGATTTAGTTATTTATGTACGGTGACTAGCACTATAATATAATTACTTTAATTGCTGTGCTAGGATTAAAATCAAAATAAATACGAATACAAATACAAATTTGCTCTACGAAATCTTCACTTCACCGAACCTATTCCAACGTATAATTCCCGTTTGATCTTATCTTAAATCTCTGGAAGCCAGAAGATCTTTGCTCTCTCTCTGACTTTTACTTTCAACCTTTACTTTACCTATTCTGCAACTCTTTCGTATTCGGATTTGCTACGAATCGTAGAAATAGTATGCTGCAATCCGAAACGTATTTTCGAACTTTCGAAATTCGTAACTATTGCATGCCTAAAAACGAACAAATAAGAAATTTACATAATTTTTGCGTAATTTTGTACGAAAACTATTCTTTGTCGGAGGAAATCGATGTGTTTGCAGGAAATATTAGTGTTCTTTTAGTCAGATAATGGCCTGTTTTTTCTTAGGCGTAAAAGCGCATTTAGCTCTAAATGCACATTTATCAATACAAAATTCGTCACCTAAAGGCAACTAAATGCAACTCCATTTCTGCATTAAGAAACTAAATGTTAAAAGCAACCCTTTGATCCCCAAAAAATGCCACGATTCGAACATGGTTTAATGAGAAAAAGTGGCAGCATTGATTTTTCGCAGATGGAGATTTCATTTGTTATTTTACATTATTTTGATAAAAAAAAAGTCCCGCTAATCCAACATCGATGTGATGAATTTCTGACTAACTCTGTTTGTTTTGTTTCATAATTACTTTAGCCAATTTTTATTTTATAGCACCGACAAATTATTATATTACCCAAACAAATTTTCGGTTATGGTTAACAGTTAAAGTTTTTGTATTAAATTTGTTTTTTAATATATATATTTTTTAGGCTTTTTTTAGCATGTCTTCTCCGTGCGAATTGACCGTGGTAGATACGGATCTGAATAAGAGACTGGAACACGGCTTTTTGTCAAAAGCATACAACTTCGAAATCGCGTAAATGTGCATTTGGTTAACCCTTCGGAGGGCGCGCCGCGGCATATTAGCCTCAAAAATTGTAATTTGTGGTTTTCAAATGTTGAATAAATATATTATTTTATACTGAACTGTATTTAGGGATTATATAAATGCAACGTTGCTATGCAAGTGACAGATTGTATATGAAGTGCCAAATAAAAATAACTTCCTTCCGTTTGTATAACCATACAGAAAACACGCGTTTTCTTACAACTATAATTGTACTTTTTACATTTCGCTGCGTAACAGGTTATGGGCCTACACACAGTTGTGTAAAATTAAGATTTCGTTTGACTAATTGCAATCGGCAGAGCAATAACAGATTAACGATCGTTGCTGAATAATTGGATTTTTGCGGATAAAATGAGCTCCAGCGCATTATCTTTTCGATTCGAAAAACTACGTGGTAGAGAAAATTTTGACGTATGGAAGCAACAGGCAGTCATATTTGGTGATTAAAGGACTATGGAAAACAGTTGAATCCGGCCTGAGTGAAAATGCGACTGTAGCTGAGAAAGATGCTGATTGCCGTGCATCTGCAGAAATTTATCTGATGTTAGATCCGAGCAATTTTGGAATTATCGCGCAAAAGAACACAGCGAAGGAAGCATGGGGCAGCTTAATGGAAGCATACGAAGATAAGGGTCTTACTAGGAAAGTTGAACTGCTAAAACAGCTTGTTCAACTAAAGTTATCAGACTTCCCATCAATGCAAGAATACATTAACGCTATGGTGCTTACGTCCATAAAAGTGAAAACAGCAGGACTCGAACTAGACGACGAGTTGATCGCATCGTTGTTGTTGGCAGGGTTACCCAATGAATCTAAATCCCTAGTATTAGCAGTTGAAAACTCAAAGGTGCTTACTATTGATTCAATAAAATCGCTCTTACTTCAGGATGTTAAATTCGATGCACAAAGCAACGAAGAAAGAGCTTTGTATTCAGGTACCGGCAATAACCACAACAAGCATAAAACAAAAAAA